CCAGGCACTTTCTACTCAGAGCAAGCGACGCCCGCTGGCCGCCAAGATGGCCCCTTAGTGGTCCAAGACGCTCCAAGATGTTTCAAGGCGGCCCCCAGGGGCCACAAGATGCCCCAGTGGAACTCCCAAAGGCCCTCCCAAATGACCCCAGAGAGCCACAAACGCAAAAGCCATTCAGGTTTTTCCATGTTCAGTAAATCTCACGCTCGTCTCCTTCGGATGGCTTCGGGAGAGCTTCACATGGCGCCGAGGCTCGAGACGGCCCCACAACTTCGAAGAAGAGCCCAAGAGGGACCCAAGCGGGCCCCAAGGCCTTCAAGGCAGCCCCAACAGGAAGATCCACAAGAGACCCGTACATTTCAAGCCAGCCCACTTCATATTGAATATCTTCCCACGCCGGCCCTGAACAGCTCGAAACCCCCGCATAATCCCAAGCAAGACGAGAAACGAAAAGCGAGGACAACCGAGAGAGTCTGGAGGTTAACGAGGAAGGACGTATAAGGAATATTGGAGGACGAGGTAGGGCAAGGTATGGAATGAGCCTGTCCGAAAAGCACGCGCAGTTCACAACGCCATGGCATGCGCTAGAACCCAAGCGCGCGCGAAGCGCGCGCGGTTCTGTAAAATGCAAATATATACCGCCCCCCCTGGCCCCGGGTCCCTCCCCGCCACATCTCGGGGACGCTCCCAGTACCGCTCCCCCGGCCTTTCCGGGGAGCCTCCACAGCGTCCCAGGAGGGCCCAAGACGCCTCCCAGAAGCCCTCAGAATTCAAAAGAATGGTCCAATACGCTCCCGAGCAGTCCAAGTCAGCCTTCCGACGGCTCTCTTGGCTCACAGGTGCCCTCCAAGAGAGCCCAAGAGAGGTCTGATAGGTGTCACGGGACGGCCCGAAGAGGCCCAAATCGTAGATGTTCATTGTTTCTTCCATGTTTTGGGCGTCTCGCGTTTTCGAGCTTCCAATGGTCCAAGAGCGCCGAAGAGGCTCCCAAGACCACCCAAGAGATCTTCAGGACGGCCCCAAGACGGGCCAAGAAGGCTCCAAGATTGCCGAAGAGGCGCCCAGGACATCCCCAGACCACCCCAGAACAGGCCCAAGATGGGCCCAAGAGCGGGAGCAGAAGGCCTCAGAGACCTCCGAGAGGCCTCCAGGACCCCCCAGAGGCTCCCAACACACCCCCGATCCCTGAGAGGCCCCAACGAGACCCCGACGAGGCTCCAAGAACAGCCCGAGAGAGCTGCGAGAGCCGTCCCGAGAGAGCCCAAAGAGGGTAAACTCGTTGATGTCCCATGGTTTTTCTAACGTTTTTCGCCTTCTCACGTTATCCCGCTCCCAACCCTCGAAGATCGAGGATGTTTTTTGTTTTTTTAACAAAAAATCGATATTCCCACAATTCCCTTTTTTTCAAAGTGGGACTCCTACTCGAGGGTCCCACACATCCCCTGACATCTGGCCAGTATCGCGCCTCCTGGCTTCCCGGGGGGAAGACCCCAAGACGCCGAAGGACAGCCCATGACGACCTCAAGGAGCCCCCAGAACGTAAAGAACGGCCCAACACGCTCCCGCGCAGCCCGAGACACCCTTCCGGCGGCTCCCCAGGCCTCCAGGAGGCCTCCAGAAGCTCCAGGGGGTCCGGAAGATCCCACACCCCTGAGGGGCCCGGCTAACAAAACCCGCGAGGCACAAACAAAAGACAGCGCCGAACAGCGCCGAGGAACTGGAAAAGCATGGAAATCCCACAATTCTTTTTTTCCAAGTTTGGCCCCCGGTCTACTCTTGCACAACAGACCACAATTCAGACCCCCCTCACCTCCCGAAACAGAACCCAGGAAGCCATTGAGGGCCCCAAATCGTTGAATACCTGAAGGGAATTAATGATTTCTGCGTTTCCGCATTTCCCCTTCTATATGATTCCGAGGCTTGAGCAGGGCCTCCAAGGGAGTCCTTGGACGCAAGAAGCGACCAACATGATATTACATTAGTTAGCCGATCAAGTCTAGCTAGAAATTGAGCGCACGCGAAGCGCGCGCGATGGTTCTAGTGTTCATGTATGCGCCATCGCGCAGACTGGGCTTAGCATTGAATATGACCAGCGCTGTGTTGTTTCAAGTATGCGTTTGATGCTCGTGGTCTGCCATCCATGTTGCGCAAAGGGGAAGTCGTCATACACCGTATGATGCGTGTTGGCTCAGGAGCCCGTTGGTGGTACCTCTATGGCTCAGCTTGTTTCTCGCGGAGATGCCCGTTGCCCCTGAGCACAGGCAAAAAAGAACATGGAGGTCGAAGACATCCGAAGCAAACATTGAGTCGAGTCGCATTCTTGGCGAAGGAAACGTCAAGAACGTTGGAAAAGCGTGGTTTGCGATTTTCCAGACCCAGGTAGACGTCAAGGGGAAACCAGGGAGCGCGCGCGAAATCCAAGAGAAGACGCATCGGATGATGAACGCGCTAGAGGTATGTCTTATAGCAGGCATGTTAGCTTGCCCCCATGACGCCACGTTTCCAGTTCGCTATGTCATGGTGCGTAACTCTTTTTTGGTGTCTGGAGAATGGTGCCACGAACCTATCAGATTCAGGCGCGCATGTTCCGCACCGTGCTCGGGGCAACTTTTCATCGAGGTGAACCAGAAAGATGTCAAACGGGCGCTTCGCGCTCAGGAGTTACACTTCTCGCCCATAGAAGCGTTGCTTGGAAACCACGTGCGGCAGTGGTCCATATGGCATATGTCTGTTTGTGGTCGTTTGCAGGATACGCCCTTCCCGCACATGGTGTTCTCGTTCGTTGGGTTTCGTTCAGTGGTCAAGCTCCACAATTTCTCGAAAGATGCTGGCCTTGTCACAGACGAGGTGATGCACACGCACGAGTCCACATTCAGGACGGTGACCATGCTGGAGATTGTTTGGATTATTTATCCAGCGGTCTGCGGCACATTCCGCCACAGCGCCATCGTAGCATCTAACTCGCGTCGTGATCATATTGACCAAGCTCTCCTGAGAAGAAGATTGGTAGAGCAAGCTCTGCACCTGCTGGGAAGCAGGGATGCGACGCATGAGCACAGTGGGGCCGTAACTTTGCATGGCCATGGCGTTGTTTTTTGACGGTTCTTCAATGGATTCGGGTCTTGTCATTGGGGCTTTGGGAGGCCCTGCCAACTGCCTCCTGCAGACGTATGGGACATTTCTCGGGGGCCGCTTTGAGGTCTTGGCGCGAGGTCCCCACAAGAGGCTCAGTCGGAGCATGTCTGACCGCCTGGGCGGATCGGCCGTCTCGGACCGACTTGGGGCGGCCGTGTCTCGTTTTCGGAGCCATTGAGCCGTCATGGGAAACTCCTGTGAGCCCGTCTGTCTTGGGCTGTCTCGTTGTTTTGTCGGCCGAGCTCACTGATCTTCCAAAGCCTTCAAGAGTTGTCTTGGACCGACAAGCGTTGAACGCCTACACGCATACGTTGTCAATGTTGTCTTGCTTTCATGGCTATGGAAAGTTCATCGGCATCTCCTGGTGACTGTTGTGGCTTCATGAAGGCATCTCGGGGCCTTGACGAGGCATCCGGTCCACTATGGGAGTGTCCTGCGTCATCGTGCAGTCGGTTTGGTGCGGTCTTGGATTTTCCTGGGGCCGTCAGGCAGGCGTCATGGGCATGCTATCAAACGAAGCTGCGTCGAGGTGGGGCGTCCCTGGAAAACTCCGTGAACCCTACAGGGCATCTAATTGGCACTCTAACACGCTCAAACGTGAGAGGTCATGTTGGTGGACCTTGCGCATGTCACGTGAATCCACCAGATCATGGCCCATTAAGCATAGACGATGTGCCGTTTAAGTATTTTGTGAATCCTAGGCGACTGATGGACTTGGAAGATACCGGGCCTGGGCCCATTTTGGTCGCTCTCGCCAGAGAATCGAACGGGAGGCTGAAGATGTACTACATGTACGGGTGCGGCGGGAATTGTGCTGAAAATCGGTGGGTCCTGAAGTGCGATGGAATCTGTGGTAATTCAAAGAAGGATCTGGGCTCTTGTAAACGGCGTTTTTTTCAAGAGGCTTACGCCATTCCGCCGTTGATTCCGATGTCATGCGCGTTGTTTGCCGTTTTTCCGTCGTGGTGCCACGTGTAGTTGTTGTTGCTTCGTCCTCCTCTTCCTCCGCGTCCAGTTGCGGGGCTTCCTGACTCTCGGAGGCCTTTGGAGCGGTATCTTCGCAGCCTTTTGAAAGACCCTCCTAGGGCATGATCGGAGTTTTGGGGGGGGTCTTGTGGGGGAGGAGGAGAACGAGGAGGAGGAGCAGGAGGTCACCACCCACCAAACCACCCCAACCCAACCCGAAGGCTCAGATTTATCCTCGATTTCCAGTGGGGGGGGGTCGGGAAACATCGAAAAAACACATGTGGAACCCTTACCCCCCCCAACCCGAAATTAGGGTCTTCGGGTTGGGTTGGGGTGGTCTGGTAGGTAGTCAGGAGGAGGTACCAAGGCCCCCTCGTCCTGGGGGGCTTTCTCAAGCCGTGTTGGGGCCGGCTCGGGCCGTCTCTGGGCCCTCTTGAGGGCACTTTGGGCCAGTCGGGGGGGGCATTTCTGGTCGACTTGGGCCTTCCGGAGCCCGAAGACGCAAGATCAGAGCCCCACATCATCAGGGGTAACTCGGGCCTTCAGCGTCGCCGCCTAGGGCCGCCGAGGGTCGCTGGGGTCCAGCGGCGGCGACGACGATGGCGGCGGCGGCGACCACCGCGACGGCGCGCGGCGGCGACGTCGGTTCGCGCCCGCGTGGTCGGCTGGCGGGCCGCGGCGCGGAAACCGGTGGGCGTCGATAAACAGGGTCCAGGGTCCGGATGGATCGCTCCAGAGCGTTCCGGAGCCCTGTCAGAGCGTTCCGGAACGCAAAGAGAAAGCCACGGCGCCCGATGCACCTCCTAGAGCAGCCGGCTCTCAGAGATCCGATGCATCCCGATCCGATGCCGTCCCGTTCCTGGCCTCGTTGTACGGCGGCGGGCGCGCGCGGCGGCGAGGCCATGCAGCTCAACGGGCGCCTCGCGGAGGCCGCGAGCGAGTCGCACGCGCACGCGCTGCAGGTCGGCCGCGTTCGCTGTGCCGCTGCCCTGCGCCGTCGTCGTCGCCGCCCGCGCGCCGGAGGCCGCCTTCTGCCGCCGTCGCTGTCGTCTGCGTGCTTGTCGTCGTCGTCGTTGCTGCATCGTTCGTCGAGGCCGTCGGCGTCGTCGTCGATATCGCCGCCGCCGCCGCCGTCGTCGCCGTCGTGACAGTCGTCGTCGTCGTCGTCGTCGTCGTCGTCGCCGCCGCCGCCGCCGCCGCCGCTGCCGCTGTCTTCGGCGCCGCTGCTACCCAAGACCTCCAGCTCGAGTATCGAGGGTCGAGGATCGAGGTGCGACGAGGGATTCTGGTAGGCGTGTCGTTTATTCTGGGCCTCCTTGTCGTCGCGACGGCTTGGTCATCCTCGAAATGGCGGTCTGAACGCACCCCAGTACAGGCTCAGGTACTGTTTTGGAGGGTTGATGCCAGGACCTCCATCGTCTGGGAAGGCTCGAGACGAAGGTCTTTCGCAATGTTCTGCGCGCGGGGGCCTTTGCTGGGACCCGCGGGGCCGTCGAGGGACAGCTCGCGGGACGAAGAAGCGGTTCTCAGGGCGGGGTCGAGCGGTCGGGGGGCGCAGTGAGAAAATAACCGTATCGGGTGTGTGGATCAGTCCATCGCCGTCCTCGTCCTCGTCGATGTTGACCTCCTGCTTCCTCGGAGTAGCTGTTGTCGATCACCCTCTGCCAGTGCCCACCGTTCTTCCGAATTGAAGTGCGTCCCTCGGCTCTCGCACCATGCGTTCCCATTGCCGAAGTATGTGTGGAGGCGCAAAGCGTGCCACTCAGCACCCGACTACAATAGCTCCCGCCCGAGATTCCCGAACAATCTACTCAGGACTCGCGCTCTCCATCGACTGTGACAATCATCGGCCGCGAGCCCGGGGGGAAAATGAGAAATGGCGGGCATTCTCAGAAGGCTCGGAAGTCCCCTGACCTTCTGAGAAAGTTCCTAAGTCCTAAGCCTTCCCCGAAGAAACAGAAGATTCTCGGAAGGCGAGAGGGCTTCTGAGAAGTCCCGCCGCCTTCTGCGAAGGCCTTCTACTTCTCTTGTTCCCCTCGCTCGCCGCCGAAATCAAGTCAGGAATCGCGCTCTCCATCGACAGTTGCAATCAATTTGCCCAGGAACGCGCCGTCGCCGTTCAGGAGCCGCGCTCTCTCACCTGGGACTGCCCTTTCCAGCCTGGTCTCGAATCGCGCTCTCGCCTGATATTTTCCGACAACTATCCTGGAGGTTTGCGGCCTCGCCGCTCAGGAATCGCGCTCTCAAAGGGCGTGCCTCGCCACCCGCCCGCTTACATACCCTGCCCGATCCGCTTGAACGCCCGCCCATCCCGCCCGCCAGGGTGCGCCCGCCCGAGACCTGCCCGTCAGGGTCCACCTGCCCGACCCGCCTGTCAGGGTCCGCTCGCCCGCCCCGCCCGCTGTAATGTCCCACCCGCCCGACCCGTCCGTTTGGGTCCGCCAGTCAAGGTCTGGCCGCCCGTCCGTCCGTCAATGTCCCGGCCGCCTGCCCGCCCGCTTCAAGCTCCCGCCCAGCCCGCCCGACAGGGGCCGCCCACCCGACCCCGCCAGTGAGGATCCGCCCGCCGGAGGCTCCTCAGGAGCTGGTCTGAGTCAGGCAGGGAGGATCTGCACCAGAGGAGGGTGCGTTCATAGATTGGGTGGCTGCGTCTCCCTGAAACCGTGACATTCTGGAGAACCACTCAAGTGGCGCCGTCTGGAAACGCAGAGTCTGTCATTCTGCGCGTCTCAGGGGGGCGGGTTTGCGTTGCCCTCCGCGTGTTGCAATGAAAACGACGTCGGGTTCCAGCAGTCCTTGCTTCGTCTGTCTTTGGGTTCGCTCGTGGCGCGCTGGGAGCACAGAGAGGGCCAGAGTCAGGGGCGTGCGTCAAGGAGCGCATGCCTGCCGAGCGGCACGCGAGCACGCCGCAGCGAACGGCCTCCGCACGGACGCTGCCGCTCTTCGAGGGGAGGGCGGCACCTGCAAGCTACCGCAGGTCAGCTTCCGGGCCGACGCCCAGAAGGCGCTCCTGGAGGACCGCCCCTCCATCGAAGAAGAGGAACGCCCAGAAGCACACATGCTTCGAAGGTCCGCGTGGTGATCGTCTTCGTGTGCATTGTGTTGCCCATCGGCGCGGGCCCTCGCCTCCCCCCCCCCTCATGGAGTAGATCTTGGCTGCTTCGGGCGCCCGTCTCAAGGAGGTGGACTAAGCACGGGGACCCTGCCTCCCCATAGGATTCCCCATGAGAGCACGACTGCAAGCAGTCGCACTGAGCACAGGTCCAGAGCCAGACCCCCCCCCCTCTCCCCCCCCCCTGTCGCTCAATGTCGAAACGCCGAATAAGAAAACGTTCACGTGGATCTTTTGGATTGGCGCTGGACCCCATGAGAGGGTGCACCGCCGACCCAATAAGTCCGCGCGGAACTCCCGAAAAGTTGATGTTCCTCTTCTGCCCCATCCTTCGAGGATCGAGGATCGAGGAACCATGTCTCTGGACGTTCTACTCCATCCCTCGAGGATCGAGGACCCAGGTTTGTGAACGTGCTTGACCCTTACTGGTCCTCCAGAGGCTGCCAACGAGACCTCAGGCGAGCTCCCACAACTTCCAGGGGAGACCTCAAGGACCCTCTGGAGTCGTTGGAAGCCCATGCCTGCGACGTTTTGAGCGACAGTTTTTTGTCCATAGTTTTTTTTCTACAGCCATCGTGTGTTGAGTTGGGCCGTCGTTTTGAATCCACAGAGCCGCGTGTCTCACTCACTCCTCCTCCCCCTCCTCGCTCTTCCAAGATTTTGCCATCTTCCTCATCATAACCATCCCCATAATCGCCATCCACATCCCCATCATTGCCACTGATTTGCTAGTTGTAACTTTCCATCGCATGCGCTCGATTGAATATCATGTGCCTGATGTGTTTCGCCGCTCTATGCATGCCCGTGCCCGACAGATCTTGAGGAGACGTCATCAGCTTGCAACTCTGTTTCCCACTTTAACTATACAGGTCTGTCATTCTCGATGCTTCGCTGATCGTGTGTTGATTTCAGATGGTGGATCTACCCTCTTTTCGCTTCTTGTCCGCCTGCCCTCTTTTCGTTTGCCTTCTTATTGCTTCTTGTCCGCCTACCCCTGTTCCGTTTCTCACCGCCAGTGGGAGTCCTGACCACCATCATGATCACCAACACCGTCACCACCATCATCATCATCAGCATCACCATCACCATAACCATCATCAGCACCACCATCACCACCATCATATCCGTTACCATTATTGTCATCAGCATCACCATGATCATCAGAATCTTCCTCATCAGGACCACCATCAGCAGCATCATTGTCATCACCACCACTATCAGCACCATCGCCATCGTATCATCGGCAGCATCACCGCCTGCGCAATCATCACCATTGCCATCATCATCGTGATCACCCTTATCATCGTCACCGTCACCTTCCTCACCACACTCATCATCGTCGTCGCCATCATCAGCAGCATCATCAACCGCATTATCCTCATGCAAAGCACCACGGGCAGCACCGTCAGCATCAGCATCGTGATCGCCATCGCCGTCGTCGGCACCACAATACCATCATCATCACCATCACCATCATCATCCTCTCCATCACCATCATCAACATCATCCACATCGTCGCCGTCACCACTGCCATCACCATCATCATCATCATCTTCACCAGCACCACCGTCATCAGCAGCAGCATCATCATCACCACCATCACCCTATCATCACCACCATCATGTCCATATCCATCTTCATCTCAGGTGCATGCGACCCCCAATATTTCCAGCTGCCCCGCACGAAGTTCCACCGCCGGCCCGAATAGCAGCGCCCGCGCGGCGGCCCCGCCCCATTTTGACGCACCCTTCGCACGCTCCGTGGCCCCGTATGGGGGCCCCGCCGAAGGCCCCGATGGCAGCGCCCGCGTGCTTGCCCCGCCTCAGTCCCTCACACATTTCGTGGCCTCACATCCTTCCCCCACCCACCTTCCCTCCATCACTACCCCCTTCCCTTCCTGTGCTTCTCCTCTTCCATCCCGCCCCCCTCTCCCTCCCTCATTCCTCCCTCCCTTGTGCTGTTCCTCCCCCTCCTCCTGCCCCTCCTTTTCCTCCTCCAACTCCTCCCCCTCGTTCTCCTCCTCCTCCTCCTCCTCCTCCTCCTCCTCCTCCTCCTCCTCCATCTCCTCCTCCTCCGCCGTCGCCATTTTGGTTCAAGATGTGTCTGCGCAGGGCAGGGCACGAATCCCGCTATTCCGTGACCAGCTTTCTCTCAGTAGAAGCGTCGTGGCCATTTCCATCTCCTAGATGCTGTGTGTCACCCCACTAGACCACCCAGGAACAATGCCCAGGTGGGTTACCCTGATTAGGGATGCGAAGGAGCATGCAGTGGAATTGCGGGCAAGGTAAGCCGTCATACCCCTAGATGGAGAATCAGGAGGAGGAGGACGCAAGAGGAGGAGGAGGACCAGGAGGAGGAGGAGGAGCAAGTAACGCAACGGCATCATGCGAAGGTTAGTCGAGCGTAAAAAGAGAAGGAGGAGAAGGAGGATAAGGAGAAGGAGGAGGTGGAGGAGGAGGAGGGGGAGGGGGAGGGGGAGGGAGGGGGGGAGGGGGAGGGAGACAAGGGGAACAGGGATGATGATGATGCTGATGATGATGATGATGATGATGATGATGCTGATGATGATGATGATGATGCTGATGATGATGGTGGTGGTGGTGGTGGAAATGATGATGATGAGGAGGAGGAGGAGGAAGAGGAGGAGGACCAGGCGGACGAGGAGGAACAGGCGGAGGAGGAGGAGGGGGAGGGCGAGCAGAGTGGCCAGAGGGGTTTTGGATGTCATTCGGAGTCTTTTCGGATGTTTCTTGAGAGTTTCCTGGTGTCCTCCTGGGGCGTCTTGGGTGCTTCTTGGCGGTCCTGGGGGCCTCCTGGACCGTCACGGGTGCATCGGGGGAGCCTTTTTGGGGCCTCTTGGGGGTCTCGTTGGGGCCTGTTGGGGGCCTTTAGGGTGCCGTGGGGCCTCCTGGACGCCTCTTGGGGTCCTCTTGGGGCCCTCTTGGGAGCCTTGGGGGCTATCTTGGAGCCATCTTGGCTTCGACCACTGAAGAGGAGTACTTAATTAGCGCCTTTCCCACCAGGAGGCCAAACGAACTGGACTCCAAACTTGGTTAACATCAATGATGTGTGCCTTTTCGCCGAGGTCATCTTGGACGCTCCAACGACCCGTCGCCCCGCCCGTCCAGGTCCAGGTGGAAGGGGTCGGGGGAAAGGGTCAAGGCACCCTCCTGGATAGCAAGCCGTCTGATTCACTCCCACCCGCCCTCCCACCACATCAGTACCACCCGAGCCTCAGCATGTTCAGCGGTCGTTTATGGATGGACAGCTACCAGGGACTTGAACACCGGCCCAATGTGCGCGACGATGGGGCGAGGTCCGCCACGCGTGCCAGGCGCGCCACGCGCGCCAGGCACCCCTGGGGCCCGAGCGTGCCAGGCACGCCTGGTGCGCCAGATGTGCTACGTGCGCCAGGTGTGCCACAGATTCCAGCCGCGCCAAGGGAACCATGTACGGAGCACGTGCAGGGTGTGTCGGGTGCGCCTGCGCACGTGAAATCACACATCGGGAAACATGCCGGCCACCACCATCCTTGTTGACAATCAATGCCCATCATGGTGTCTGGTGGGCCTGCGCACAGCAGGCCAGGCGGCCCCGCCCCCGCCGTTTTTATCAAACACCGTTTGACACTGACCGCGGAGTGGCCGCGCACGATCCAGATTTGGCCACCTCCATATCTGCGACGCCCCTCGCCGCTGCACACCCACCTGCGGGTGAGCTATGGGATTCCTAGTTCCTGCGAGTGCGCGCGACATGGTCGCCGCCCCCGGCTCCGCCACTGGCCACAAGAGAGGTGCAGAGCCATGGGGAGATACAGCAGGCGCACTTCCTTGGAAAGACGTCGCGCCACAACACCCAGTCCACATCCGCAAGGAGTTCGAGGAGGCGCCGGCACCCCAGATCAAGGTGGCGCCGGGCAAGTTCGGGATCACAGCGACGCAGGCCACCGACTGGGCTCGCAATTTCTTCCTCGAGCCGGTCGCGAAGATCACCGCCGATATATCCGCGCTCCAGAACAACAGCGATGCGACCTCATGTCCATCCGGCAGCGCGTGCATGATAGAGAGCGCGCCCAAGCTGAGCTCAAGGCCTCGGTCAAGAAGCCCAGGCCGCCAATCCCAGCATCGACCCCACCACCCTCGCGAATTGCGACAGGGCCCAATACTTCGGTACATAGCGGGCCGGGTGCGAGAAGGAGGTCTCCCCCAAGGCATTCTCTGATGGCAACTCCGACGCCCCTGCGAGGAGACGCTCTGTCATTGTTTTCGGCGGCGACCCGGTGGCCCGCCCTATGGCAGAGGCTTTCTACAAGGCCCCCAAGATCGGCAGCAAGCACCGCGCCTTCACCGCAATGCGGCGTTCAATCGAGCCCGTGACCTCGCGCGCCAGCACTGACGAACCACCCCGGGATGGCCCGCCAGGAAGCTTAGCTCCAGCGCGCGCCCTGCATTGCCAGAGAGCGCATCCGCGACGGCTGGGAGCTCTACCGCACCAAGGGCTCTAGCCCCGTCAGTGGCCTCGCGGTCGTCAGGCTATCTGCCAGCGCGGCACTGGGCGAGCCGTCGAGGGCCCAGCGGGGCCACGCTGCTCTTCCTAGCGGCAACCGCGCGGAGACGCAGCGGCAGCCGATGGAGCCCCCCGGGGCCCCCCATCGACCCCCCGCGGATGCAGCGCAGCGGCTGCTGCGCGAGATGGGCGCCGTGGCTCGCTGGACGCAGCCGCTTGGAACGCTCGGGCGCTCCTCGGCGCGCCAGCATTTCGGCGCGAGGCTAAGCGACGATTTCTCCCGCCTCGCCCCGCCCCCCCCCTCCCCCCTCGGCAAGAATCGGCGGCGGCTGCGCGGGAGACCCGCCGTGCTATTCGCGGGCTCGAGTTCGCGATTGCTTCGACCCCCCGCCTCTGCAAGGCCTGCCGCTCCAAGATCCCCGACAGTTCCATCGCTGGCGGCGTCGGCTTCCTCGCCCCCAACGATCCCCATGAAGATGGCCCCCCTTCCCGGCGAATGTCCTATTCGCATCTGTCGTTCGGCTGATCTGGGGCGCGTCGCCCGCCCCATTTTCTTCCGCCGTGGGCCAGTGCGAGATCGCCGTTCTCTATGCGCGCAACTTTGGGTCCGCTGATTCTGATCGCGCTGCAGCGACGCGCGTTTGGGACTTCGGCGTTGCTCGCGCCAGGGGCGCCCCCGACTCCGGGACATCCACCGGCGAGGGCGGCTTCCAGGTTTCAACGGGCTTTCCCGCGCTACTTCCAGCCCCCCGCGGGGGCGAGTTCCCGGAGAGCAATCCGGGAAGCTAGTTTTCCGCGTCGCAAACCCAGCTGGGCAGCCAGCGGGGCAGCCGGCGGCGCAGCCGGCGGAGCGGCCGCCGAGGCCCAGGGACCTGCGGGCCTCCAGCCGCGCACTAAATCTCAGTGCCAACCCGCGCGCCGGAAGGATCGCACCGAGGACGCGGTCGGGGGACTGTCCCCAAGTGCAACGCGCATCGCCCAGTGGCGAACCAGATGGACGCGGCCATCGACGGCCGCTTGGTCTCCAGCCCCTCCCACGACACGATCAACCAGGAGACCGCGCTCGCGGTGGACCCGCCCCCGCTGGGGGCCATCGCCAGGTTCGCCAGCGACCGCGCCGCCACTCAGCTTCGAGCGCGCCCGCGTCGCGCGGCCGCCTGCTGGGCGCGGCGCCCCAGATTTCACTGCTGCTATTGTTCATTGCCAAAACCACATTCGCAAGTAGACGCGCAGCCGCTTCAAAGTGACGCGCGTCGCAGGACATGATCAAGAGCGCCGCCGAGATCGCCGGGGGCGCCGCGCAGCGCGCGCGCCCCGACGCCCTCGAAGACGCCGACAAGGTAGCCAGTCCGGGGGTCCACGCTCTCAGCCTCAGGTCAATCGCAGCGGCGGCTTGGCGCCAGGGTGCCAAGCCAGCGCGTTCCTGGGCGCGACCCATCCCGCGCTTCCGGCGGGCTGCGCCGCCCTTCGTTCGCCCTCGGTCTGCGCCGCAGTCGTGGGCGGGATGGGCTCGGTTCTCGCCGACGAATGCCGTGGCCTCGCGGCTGCCCGTTCGAGCGGGGGGCTCGCGCGGCTGGCCGCCGCGGCGTCGGCGCCGCGCGGCAGCCGCGCCCCTCGGCGGCCCGCGAGAAGGGGGCGGTCTTGCGCCCCTTCTCGGGGCGGCCCATCCCCGCTGGCATCGCGGTTCTGGCCGGCACAACTCGCGCGACCCCTGAGGGGCCCGGATAACATGCGCACTTCCACCCAGGCGCAAACGCTTTCCATCGTCGAAGACACGCGCGCGCCGACGAGGGGGCCATGGCGAGGTGCTTCGACCAGATAGATCTACACTTGCAAGTCCATCGTCGACCTCCCGCTCCCCGCCGCCGAAGCGCCCGGCGCCGAGCTCATGGCCGAGTGCGCCGGCGATTCTGGCGATCCCCTTCCTGCCCTCGACGGGCTGCTAGGCCGCGCGCCGGCGAAGGCGCCAAAAGCAAGCGCCCATCGGCGCCGACGGCCAGCAGGCGCCCATCGGCACCGACGTGCCCCCACGAGCTCAACCACGCGTTTATGGCCGGGCCCCCGGCAAGCCAACGAGCCTCCCAGGGAGCGCGGGGTCCGTCCGATCTCTCGAGCAACTGCGCCCTTTGAGCACGAAGAATGCGGACGTCGAGCTGCTCGCAGGATGTGCGAACTGCCCACTATTAGGGGGTGCTCATTAGATGGCGGCTGGGCAACGAGGATTTTCGGATGGCAGACACCCCCCCCGACCGCATTATTGTTATCGGTGCTGGTGCGAGGAGCTTGCCCAGTCTCCCGTGAGCCCCTGCCCCCCGACCGATATCTGCGAGCATGGGCATGCCGGCTGCGTTTCCAAGTGCGTTGCGCCAGTTGATGCGGCAGGTGTTGCCGCGCAGAGGCATGCATGGCCCCGTGCTCAAATACTTCAAGGCATGCTGCCGCTTCATTCGTGCGCTTCTATCTAATCTACGCGGTGAGTGGCGACCGCTGCTGCCCGCGGATCCGGGTCGCCCGCGGGCGCCCCTTGTCGGGGACTGCACGGTGGAGGCGCATGCCAAGAAACGCCTTGCTTGCCTTCAGGGTGCCCTGGGACTCTTGGGCTTCCATGATTTTGCGATGGAAAGCGCGACGCCCCCCCGCCAGAAATCTGCGGGCGCCCCGGGGTCTCAGGATCGCGTTTCTTGTGGAAGCTTTCTTGTGGGCTGGCCTCCACTGCGCGGGGCGTCGTACTTGGCGAGGATTGCTCTCGGCTGTGCCGGCGACCTGGGGGCCCCGATCGGCCCGCCCCGCGGCTTCGCCGCTCCCGCCCTTCGAATGGCGGCGGCGCGAACTCTCGCGGGGCTTGAACTTCAGGCGAAGAGAATCGCGATCGCGCCTGCGTGGTCGCTGCCGCCCCAGTCTCTCGCCGATGAGCCCCGCGCCTACCTCGCCCCCATCCCCCCTTTATGGAAGAACTGCAAGATCGAGCCCGCGGCGGATTTCCCGGGGGGTTGTCATCGGGCCCCAGGCAACTCGCGACCACCAACGGCGCGCTCCCAGCCCGAAGTGTCGCGATTGCCCCCAGCTCCCCGGCGCCCCTCGGGCGCCCCTGCAGGCGGGCATCGAGACTTACAGCGCCGCAGTCATCGCCGCGCCGAGCCACGTCGGTTAGCTCTCCTTTCCTTCGAGCAGTGCGCTGGAGCGCGAAGTCTTCGTCGTTCAGGAGGTGCTGCGGGCCCCTGCCTCGACTTCACCCGGGCCGACATCTTGTCCTGCGATGGCCGGTCAGGCTTTTTTGGACGCCCGAAATGGGTACCGAAAAATGGGTACAATGCCCAACAGCAAATGTTGTCCCGAACCAACAGCGGCCGCTGTTGGGCAGGCGGCCTTCTGTCTCGAATGGACAGGCCTCGGCGGCGTGGACAGCGAGCCCTGTTCAAAATGAACTAGATCCGCTGTTGGGCATTGTACCCATTCCTTCAGTACCCATTTCGTGCGTGCGCAGTTTTTCTGACCCTCAGAGCGTCGAGGTTTTTCGGGCGGCCACTCTTTGGAGACCTGCTGCGCCCGCCATCCACGGGCCGCGCACGGACCGCGCGACTTCGCGGAAGCCACTGCCGCTGCCCATCTCAGCACGCAGGGGTCTGCTGCCGGCAAATGGTGCGCCACGTGCTGGGCTGACGCGTTCCTCGTCGCCGTCTCCATTCTGCGCGCGGCGAGCGGCTCAGACTTCGCGAAGGGGAAAGGCTTTGTCCGCAAGCGAGATTCCCTCGCGCGCGGCGGGGCCGAGCTTTCCGATCGTTTTCTGGGGCTGGCCCATCGCGTCGCCGCAGCGCACGGCGAGCGCGCTGCTGCACTGCGGGCCAGTGCCCTCGGCGACCCAAACTCGACGGAGCGCGCGACCAGCCTGAGCACGCGGTGACTTTTTCCCCGACGAGTTCGGAATCACGATCCGCAAGAGGCTTCGCAGCTGGATGGGCGACGAGTTTTTTTGTTCCGCCTGGCTTTCGCCGTCGTTGGCGACTGGCGCGAGAGGTGCTTCTGGCCATGCGATCATCTCGTGTTTGGCCTGCGTTGGAGACGCACGCGGGTGGGTGGTTTGCGCCGTTTCGCATGCACGTGGTGTCCGAGCAGAAGCCTTGCCGCTTCAACAACTGCACCGACGGTGAAAACTCAGTCGAGCACTCCGTGCGGTGCCGCGCCCTATGCCATCTGGTTGCGCTTCCGCGTGGGTAGTTTCATGAAGATCAGCTGGCACGCGTCGGTCTTGGCGCAGCTCACCAGCACCAAAGGGATACTTCAAGGCTGGACAGCTTGACGCGCGCGGCCGTGATGTTCAGGCTGTACCACCACATGAAAGGACAACAACTACAACACCGACCTGACCCACGCCGCCGCTCTTCGAGGGGTCCGCGGCACCTTGAAGCTGCGTCCCAGTCTCTCGGGCGGGGCCGGCGTGATCGGAGGCCGAACGGAGCCCACAAGGCGACGCTCGCTTCTAGTCCTCTTCCGCCTCCTCCTCCTCCTCCTCCTCCTCCTCCTCCTCCCTCCTCCTTCTCCTCCTCCTCCCTCCTCCTCCTCCTCCTCCTCCTCCTCCTCCTCCTCCTCCCTCCCCCCTCTTTTCCTCCCCCCCACGTCCACCTGTCCTTGCGTGTGCTCCTCCTCCTCCCCCCCCCCCTTCCTCCGCGCAGCGCGCCCCTCCCCCCCCCCCGCCGCGCCCGCGCCAGGAGGCGGCGAGGCCCGTGGGGGGGATGTCCGAGGAGGAAAGGGCCGCCCTGGAGGCGCGGCTCAGGCGCTCCCGCGTCGCCGTCGTCGCCGTCGCCGTGGCCGCCATTGCCGTCGTTGTCGCGGCCCCCGCCGCCGTCGTCGTCGTCGTCGTCGCGTCTGCGTCGTCGTCGTCGTCGTCGTCGTCGTCGTCGTCGTCGTCGTAATCGTCGTCGTCAGCGTCGTCGTTCTCGCCCTCGCCAAGGATGGGGCAACATTCCAAGGTTACCCTTGCATCCTTGCCCCTCCGGTATTCGGCATCCTTCGGCATCCTGTTGCGCTCCGCACGGGACACGTCAACATGGCGCTCCAAGGCCCTTGCATCCTTACCGCGCGTCCTTACTGTCCTGGTCCAGTGTAGTCTACGTAGCACCCCGCAATTGCGGATAAGAGTGAGGGGGCGGGCGCGGTCGACGCGGGCGTCGTCAAGCGGGCGGACCTCGTGGCCCCCACCTTCCCTGTCGATGGCGCTCTCCTCCTCCTCCTCCTCCTCCTTCTCCTCCTCCTCCTCCGCCTCCTCCTCCTCCTCCTCCTCCTCCTCCTCTTCCTCGTCCTCGTCCTCGTCCTCATCGTCATCATCGTCCTCCTCCTCCACCTCGTCTTCCTCCTCATCCTCCTCTTCTTCCTCGTCCTCCCTCTCCCCCCCTCGTCCTTCCATCATCGTCCTCCCATTGTCGTCATGTTCCTCCTCGTCGTCCTCCTCGTCCCCCCCTCCCGATCCTCCCCCCTCCTCCTTTTCGTCGTCGTCGTCGACGTCGTCGTCGTCCTCCTCGTCCTCCTCCTCCTCCTCCTCTCCTCCTCATCCTCCTCCTCCTTCTCCTCCTCGTCCTCCTGCAAAAGCAGCCCGCCGCAGGCGCCGAAAAATTTGGTTTGTACACTGAACGTGGTTTGGGTCGCGGGTGGGCCGCGGGTTCTCCACCGGGAACGAATGCAAAAGATGCCCGCCGCAGGCGCCGAAAAATTGGTTTGTACCCTGAACGTGGTCGCGGGTGGGCCGCGGTCTCTCCACCTAGAACGAATGCAAAAGATGCCCGCCGCAGGCGCCGAAAAATGTGGTTTGTACCCTGAACGTGGTTTGGGTCGCGGGTTGGTCGCGAGTTGGTCGCGGGGTGGGTCGCGGGCTCTCCACCTGGAAGGAATGCAAAAAAAGCCCGCCGCAGGCGCCGAAAATGTTGGTTTGTACCTTGAACGTGGTTTGGGTCGAAGGTGGGTCGCGGGTGGGTCGCGGGGTGGGTCGCGGGGCGGGTGGGTCGCGGGTGGGTCGCGGGTGGGTCGCGGGTGGGTCGCGGGGTGGGCCGCGGGCGGGTCGCGGGGT